GTTGACTTAATTTTGTAAGACATTATAACTTTTCACTTTTTCCCACCTTCGTTTTTCCATTTTCACCTTTTCCCACTTATGGGACGAATTGTGTATTTTTTATTTCATTATTGTTGTTGTTCTTAATTATTAGGTCCAAATAATTTCTTTTGGGCCCAAAATTGAAAAATTAAAATTAAGCCCAAAAAAAAAAATTGAAGGCCCATAACAAGGATTTTGGATTTAACCGGTTAACCGTCAAACCGGACCGTCCAATGCAGTCCGGATTATGGTCGGTTAAAAAGTAAAAACGGTCCAGTTATGGACAAAAAAAAAAATTAACCGTTAGGTCCAATTTGGTCATAGTTTGGATCAAAATCGGACCAATTCGGACCGTTAACTTCCCTAATCTATTTTATGTAATTGCGTCATCCAAAACGAAGATATTGTTTCCTTTTTTTATCGTTTTTCTATAAGAAAATTATACGTATTACGGTATTAGGACTTATTAGATTCTTCTAATAGTAATTAATAGGTACTGCTTCATAACTAAGTTATAACTAGTACAAAGCCCGTGCGATGCACGAGGTGCACAATTTTAAGGCTATTTATCTAGGCTTATAATTATATACATGAATAAAGAAAAATGTACGGGATATATATTGTACGTGACCCGTGCGAAGCACGATATATATTTATTTGGAGAATATTATATTATAAGATGCAATATTCAATAAAAGTTTATAATACGCAAGAAAATTGTACAATGTTCAATAAAAGTTTTATAATATTCAAGTGGAGTCTTAAAGTCTCTTGTACATTAAGACTACTGACAAAATAATATTCTAATCAATGAGTTTTCTTTCCTTGTAGCCAAATTGTGAATGTGATTTGAGGAGTACAACAAATCGATATATAGCTTACTTGCTTTTTTCATTGTAGTTTTTTTTTTCTTTTCTTTTATAATGAATTTAAAGATATTCTAAATTATTGCAAAAATTAATTTTTTTATTACAATTAGAAATTTTACTAAATATAGACTCTCAATCTATGGTGTTAATCAACGTTTAAGTCTAAAAAATTAGGAATTTTTACCTCTTTTAATCAACGTTTAAGTCTAAAAAATAATAGAGTTATTATAAGTTTTTTTCTACATCTTTTAAAACATCAAATATGAGCATGTTAGGGCTAGCTTATAAAATAATTAATATATTATCTCACTAAAATATTTATACTAATAAAAATTTAATTTTAGCATATAAATTTATCCTTTGATATATGATAAAGTAACAGTTTTACTTATTGTTGTTCACCATATAATATTTAATTATTATTTTATTATATAATAAAAAATGAATATTGTTAAATAGTGTAGTAGAATTGTTATAAAATTATATGATTTTTTTTTTACAATATAGATTTAATACTTTTTTATGATTTGATAATATAAACAAATCTATACTTAACTTTGACAAATAAAACAAATAAATACTTTAAGTAAGTATTTAATGTATATACTAAATAAGAATATACTAGTATATATCCCGTGCGATGCACAGAGGAGTTCATATTTTAAACTTTTTTTTAGACATATGTAGATAAAAAATATAATATTAATTAGTTTATTAGAATGTGATTATATAAAAATTAAGATAAAATGAAATTTACACAAAAAAATCTGTTTAGGATATTTTTCTTTAAATGTTTGAATTTAAAATTTTAATACCGAATTTAGATTATATCACATAAGGAAAAAATAAATAATAAACTTTTATTAATATATTAAAATATGTCATTCTGAATTTCATATAAAGTAAAAGGTATGATTGTCAAACTTATTTTTAAAAATTTTCTAAAACAATTAATATTTTAGTAATTATATCATAAGAATAATCGTATAATTAATTAAATAAAATATTATATTAATTATATTTTAAAATACTTGATTAGATAACTTGGATAAAAAAATTATTATATTAATTAGTTATTAGGAATGTGTTTATATGAAAATTAAGATAAAATGAAATGTTCCCGAAAAAATCGACCTCTTTTTATTCATCATAAGGGAAATCATAATACTCAACTATTATTTTATTTTAAGATTTATTGTCACGTGATATGTATTTGAATAATAATTATATGCAAAATATTATAATTAATTAAAAATTTTAAGTGGACACTTTTAAATAAATCACATCACATTTATCATTACTTAATAAGGCATATATTCAATGAGGTAAAAAAATTGAGTTAACTGGGCCTATTTTTTGAACCATCAATTCCATTAACAATTAAAAAAATAGCCCAAAGTGTGGCCATTGATGAAGCCCGGTTTTGTTAATAGATGACAGGCCCTTTATTCCAAAGTAAACAGATCGACGGCTCGAAGTAACCCAGAAAATCCGATGGCTGAAAACGGAAGCTTTCACATATAAAAGCTGGAAAAGTGAACCCTAAATTATTTTCAGATTATTCCTCAACATTATCGCCGCAACACCTTCTTCCTCATAATTTTGGGTCCATTTTTACGAAAAAATCACCAAAAATAGAAATTTTAGTCTACTATCCAAATTTTGCTATCTCGAAAGCCAAAATGATCGAAATCAATCTCTATCGTTATTTTTTGTTAGTCGGAGCTCCTCCTTGCCCGGTGGCTCTGCACCCAACCAGCATAGCAGCTCCTCCTTCTGGATCGTCCGTGTCGATCATCTTGAATGCTTGCTTGCGCTCGAGGTACACGTCGCCGAAGATCTCGGACCACTCGTTGGCGGAGCCGGAGGGGAGGACGGTGGTCGGCGTGGCCAGGCCGCCGCCGCCCTTCTTTTTGTATACGTCCTCGGAAGAAGCCGAGGAGAACGTCGGCTGGGAGCTGAAAGACGGCAGATCATCTTCGGATCTAGAAACAGATCGAGATTTTTTGGGGCTGAACAACTTGCAGGGTATGATCTTGGCGAGTTTCATGGCGGAGATGAGAATCCAACAAAGGTGAGAGAGAAGAAGGCAAGGGGAGAGAATGAGGATGTGGAAAATTGTGGTTTGAGGGAAATAGGGGAGGAAGGAGAGAAGTTAAATGGTGCGAGGAAGTTAGAGAGAGAGAGATAGTTTTTTTTAGAAGAGATAATCAAAGGATAAATTAAAATAAATCTATAGTGAATCTTTCCTAAAATTTAGTTGCATAATCGGATCACAAAATATCAGCCAACTATTTCAAATAAAATTTGAGGAGGAAAACAACAATTTGAGCGGGAACTGAAATAATTTTTTCAAAGTTTTTCAAATAATTTTTCTTCTCCGTATTATATATTAATAGATTTGGTATAATCAAATACCAAATATAATCAAATAAGTCAAAGTGTACATTTTTATTTGGTATTTGATTTTTTTATTATTAAAATTTTTTTATTATACTTACCTTTTTAAAATAAAATAAATAAATAAATTAATTAAATAAATAAAATATTATAATACTAAAATAGTAATGGTATTTAATGCAGTTGACTTTTCTGGATAGTAAATGTAGTAAATAGAATCTCCTTTTATATAAGTATAGATATGATATTATATTATGTTGCTCAAAATAGTAATGCATTTATTGTATTGACTTTGCAACTTACTAATTTCGTAAATGGTACACCTTATTATATAAGTATAGATTAGGGATTGATCTTTTGTTATTACAAATATGTAAGTTTTGGGCAATTTTTTATATGAAAGAATTATGAATTGAGAAGTTGTGGGGTTTCTCCGTGTGAAATTTTTTTTTCTTGGCTTTTCGTAGTTAATGAAAAAGTATGTTATCCTGATACAAACAAACCCGGTTCATATAAGCAATTCTGAGTTTAATGCAACTAAAATTCAAATCACTATGTAGCCAACTAGAGTAATTTATTAAGCATTGTACAAAAGGCTCAATCAAATAATGTGAAAATAAAGTTTTGGAACATTTGAAGTTAAGTGCTCGCAGTGGTCCTCAACTAGATTTTTCGAGTTCTACTTAAAGAAGAAAGAACAAATTGAAACGTTTTGTAAATTCAATGTATCTATGAAAATTTTAAAAAATACTTTTGCAACTATAGTGTTCTATCAAAGTTNGAAAATTTTGGTAATACGAAGAAAAAAAAATAAAAATTAAGCGGGTGAAATTGGATTTCAGTTGATCTATGTGTGGAAATTTTTGTGATAGGGCTTTTCAGTGTGGCTTTGGCGCGTGAAGCATATTTTCCCGCCTTTTGAAGATTTTGGCGGGAGACTGCATATTGCAATTCTGCAACTTTCCGATTTTTTTCTCTTGTTTTGTTTGGTAAGTGAAACGACAGCGTATTCACGTTCTATCAGTTAAGAATGAAATTCCCGTTTTGTCCTCCAAGCCCAACTCTCATTGAATGCTTGGATATAAGTTTTTTTAAAAAAAAAATAAAAAATTAAAATTAATTACAACTCTAATTTAATTCAATCTCACTATCTCATTGTTATCTATATAATTAAATAATATCAATAAATCATTCTTGCATATCACATCAACTTTAATTTATTGTTCCTTCACTCACATAATACATCACTTCTTTTTTTTTTTTGGTACAAAAGAGGAGGCCAAAGGCCTAAGTGAGGTTTATGCTAGAACGCGTCGGGGGTAGGATACCCCTATTATATCATGATCGAGCCATGTAGTCATGCCTATGGGAGGGGAAGGTACACGCTGCAGTCCCAATGGAGCGGAGAACGCCAGGTTTGCCATGCAATCAGCCGCAAAGTTGGCTTCCCTATGAACGTGCTGGATCCGAACACTCCACTCTCTTTGAATCATGTCACGGATGGCCTGGATTAGGGCATCGTGAGTCCCATGCCGATCGTTCGAACCAAGGATCATTTTCGTCACACATAGACTGTCAACTTCGACAATTACTTGACGATAACCCCGATCCCAAGCCAGTTGTAAACCTTGAAAGATACCCCACAGCTCGGCTCCCGTCATAGTGCTAAAACCAATATTCCACTCTCTTTTAACATTTTAATTACTGCTTATGGCTTCCTCTATCCCTTTCCTCAGCCTCTCCATCCCACTCCACCACCACCGCAACCACAAATCCACCGCTGTTCTCCTCCCACCGCCGCCCCTTCGCCGCTCCGTCTCCGACCGCCTAATCTCCGCCGGATCGTATTTCCTCCCGCTGGTCAACGACCTCAAATACAGGCGATTCAGATCTAACCTCCCACCACCGCCCCTTCGCCGCCGCTCTCTCACAAAGACTTCCGCCTCCGCCCACACACCCATCCCCGCCGCCGACCGCCTTATCTCCGCCTCGTCGTATTTCCTCCCGCTGTTCAACGGCCTCCAGTACGGGCGATTCCTCTTTGCGAGGTACCCGATCGCCGCCGCCCCATTCGAGCCGCTCCTCCCCCTCATCTCTCTCTACCACTCGGTGCCCTACGCCAGCTTCGTTACTTTCTTCGCGTTCTATCTCGGCGTCGTGAGGAACCCTAATCTCAGCCGCTACGCGAGATTTAACGTGCTGCAGGCCCTTGTATTGGACGTGCTGCTGGTTCTGCCGGTGCTGCTGCAGAGGATAATTGCTCCGGGAAGGTCGGGAATCGCCCTCAAGCTCACGGCCTGGGCTTATTCTGGGCTCTTTGTCTTCGTGGTGGCCTGCTTCCTTTATGGGCTTGTGTCCAGTGTTTTGGGCAAGACTCCGTATCTGCCGCTAGTTGCTGAGGCAGCGGGCCGCCAATTGGACTGACTTTGGGCCTTTACTTTTTGGGCCAATGGTGTTGGTGCAGTACTTCCTTTTCATTTCCCGTGTTCATTTTCTTTATCCGTCGTCGTTTTTGTTTGTAATAAGGAATCGTACTTTTGCTTGTCTGTGATATTGATTACTTTGATTTACTCAGAATTTAAAAGTATTTTGGATGATTCGATAAGGTTGTTTGTGATGCTGATTACTTTGATTCGCTCAGAAGAAAAAAGTATTTTGGATTATTCAAAGTTGAAATGGAACTTATTCAGTTATTCCTATAGTTTTCCAACTTCTGGTTATTACTAGGACAGTAATGCCTAACTGTTGATTTCGTTATGGAGCCAACCGTTAGAGCATCTCCAATGGTCATTCTATTTCTCTATTTTGTTGCCACATGTCACAAATAATCTTAGGTGGCTTGAAAAAATTCTAGAAGGCTTTCTAGATGTAGAAGCCTTTCTAGACAACTTCCATTGTATATTAGCATATTTATTTAATTTATTTATCTTTTTCAACCAATTAAAATTTTACACATCACAAATGATACCACAATTAACATCAACCATTGGAGACATAATTTTTTAGTTTTCATTCTCCATGCCATACAACACAAAATGGATCATTTTCCATTGGAGATGCTCTTATGGAGCCAACAGCGGACAGTTGCATGTGGGACACATGACTCAGACAAATATAACTAAAGTACTATGGTTCGATTTGTGCACTTGCACAAATATAAGTAAAGTATTATAATATATAAATTATTTATATGTATATAATATTAAAATTATGAGTTAGATAATAATATTATTAAATTTTAAACATATAATATTATAAATTATATTAATACATGTAATATTAAAACTATTGATTAGATAATGTATTATTTAAAATTTAATCATTGGTTAAAATTAATAGTACGTAACTATTTGATTGCATATGAATCGTTATATTTGTAATATATGTATTTTTAAGAGATCATGACCAATTAATTTGTTTTAAAAATATTAAATTTATTATAACAATTGCTTATGCGATTTTAAGAGATTTTATTATGACATTAAAACAAATTAATTTATTTAAAAAAACAATCGCAATCAGATAAAAAAATATAATATTGATTTTGGAATGAATAACATAAACAAATAGTTTTATAATATAAATTTTTATGTTTATGTAACTTTCATATATCATTTAGTGTAAATATAATTATTAATTCTAATAATGACAATTATATGATACAATATAAATATTTAAATATTACTCAGTTAATATAAAATTTAATGGTTTGTGTCTTAATAACATAATAAGTTTTTGAAAAGTTAGGTGCCACGTATTTATAATTTATGAAGTAAAACTTATTAGGTTTTATTTAATGAATTGGTAAGAATAATATATATATATATATATACATATATATATTATCTGAATTTTAGGTGCCACGTATTATTTTTTTATTTGAATTTATTTTTAAAATAATTTTATTTAATATATTTTAATCATGATTTATAATATATATTATATATTTATTTTTTATCATTATTTGTTAATTTTATTTTTTTAAAAATTGATTTCTACACACATGGGAATGAGAAAACCTTCAATTTACTATGGAATGGCTAATCCCATGGAGATGGGTTTTGTCATTCCCATTGGAATGGTCATTCTTTCCCAAAAAATATATCAATCATGGGATAAGGAATGAGTAAGGGAATGATCATTCCATTCTCATGTCATTCCTTCATACCAATCATGTCATAACGGTTACAAATCCCAACGGAATGGTTCCGTAACGGGATTGTAGCCTTACCCCCAAATATAACATATATATATATGATAAGGTTCAAATTAGAACCAATTGCTACTGTGAGAACCATGATAATCGTTATTTTTAATTGTACGTAGTGCTATAATGATTGTGTTTTAATGCTACTAGTACAGAGCTCGTGCGATGCACGGGGTGCACAATTTTAAGGCTATTTATCCACTTATAATTATATACGTGAATAAAGAAAAATGTACGGGATATATATAGTACGTGACCCGTGCGAAACACGGGATATATTTATTTGAAGAATATTATATTATAAGATGCAATATTCAATAAAAATTTATAATACGCAAGAAAATTGTACAATGTTCATTAAAAGTTTTATAATATTCAAGTGAAGTATTAAAGTCTCTTGTACATTAAGACTACTGACAAAAATATATTAAATAAATAGAAAAATTACTTTTACTTATTTTTTAATTAGATATATTAAATACTTATATAAAATTAAAACCAAAAAAAGCATTTATATATAATTTCAAAATTTATTATTTTATTTTTATATATTATTAATATATTATTTTTTATATATTAAAAATATATTATTGAAAAATATTGAAAATATATATTATTAAAAATATATTACTTTATTTTTAAATATTATTAAAAATATATTTTTAAAAAATAAAATTCAAATAAAAAATTGCAAACTTACTTTTATTTACTGTTTAATTAAAAAATAAAATATATATTATTAAAAATATATTACTTTTTATTTCTAAATATTATTAAAAAATATTATTTTTTATATATTAAAAATATATTACTTTTAAGAATATATTATTTTTATATATATAATTTAAAAATATATTTTTTATTTTTATATATTATATATTATTATTTTTTATATTATTAAACAATATATTATTCTATTTTTATATATTATTTATAATATATTATTAAAAATATATTATTTTATTTTTATATATTATTAAAAAAAACATTTATTTATAATTTATTAAAAGTATATTATTTTTTACAAAAAAAGCTTTTATGTATTTTTATACTTAAAAATGATAATTTCATTCCATTCTAGTTCTATTCCTCCTGCATACCAAACGCATCAATGACAAAACATGTTTCGTTCCATTCCCATAATCATTCCATTCATACGAAATTTCATTCCATCATACCAATCATGCCATTAGATCAACTATCATTGACGGTTACTTGATGATCTAACGGTTATAAATCCAAACGGAATGGTTCCGTAACGGGATTGTAGCATTTTTATATTTAGTAATTAGTGTTAAGTTAAACATTATGTTTATCATTTTTATTATATACCATTACAATGTTAAAAAAAATACAAACAATATTAATATTAAAAAGACTACAAATTTAACACATAAAAAAGACATTAATATTACCAAATTAGTCATAATATTGAATATAACATAAAATTACAGAAAATAAATATACATCATAAACCATAAAAAATAACATCCATATACAAAAAAGAAAAATAAATCATAAATTACGAAACTAAAAAACATACATATATTTAGTAATCTTCCAAATTGGCACAACTTATTTCCAAACTATTAAAAACTGCTCAAATGTGTGGGTTGAAAAATGGATCCAATTGAGCTTGTTGTGCTTTCTCTAAAGTCCATGTCTTTCATCTTCGCTTGAGTTATAAGTTCTTTTATGGAACTGACATATTAAAAATTTTTAAAACAAAAAATTATTTTCTTCCCTCATTTCTTTTAGAGCATAGGGTTTTATTTCATTTTTTCGTTTGATTTTTTCAAATCTGCAAGAAGTTTGTTGTTTTCTTACTAGCGTTGATGATCGATGATCATCATTTCTCTTTAATTTTAGTTTTTCTCAATAAGTCTTTCCAAAAATGCTATGGAGCCATCAGATGATTTCTTTATGGAGTCATTCATAACTTTATGTATTGACACGTGTTCAATGTGTATTTATTGCAGGACACGTGTCAATACACTTTTTATGGATAACTATAGATGACTCCATAAGTCGAGTCATCCGATAACTCTATAGCAAAACCGTAAGTCTTTCAAATAAAGAATAGATTGCATCCATTTTGATTTTTGTCGTTAGAAATTAGAATATATTTTAAACAATCTGGACGGCCCAAAACTTGTCCTATACCTGTTCCACATCAATATATTACCCAATAAACGCTACATATCATACCCCCAATATTTTGCAAAGGAATGATGTATAACTGTTATAGACAAAATTACCAAACTTGATCATAAAATACCTCCAAAAAAAGGTTATTATGAAAATTAAGGTACTAAAATCAGTTATTAGTCCAATCCAATCAGTTGGACTCAACTTAATCCAAAAAGAAAAAAGGTTCTCATCTTTGGAATTCGAAGGAAAAAAAATTAAAGTCTAAAATCAAATTTACCACAACATATTTATGTAATTATTCTAAATATAAAAATAAAAATTCTGGAATCCAACTTCAAGACTCACTTTTCTTTGATTCTTTTTCCTTTGTCCTCTTTTATTTAAAATTGGTATCAACGTCAAAAGATTATCTTGGACATCAATACTGATTCGAATCACTTTGAAATATCAATTAAATATTTTAAATGATACTATAAAGATTCAATAAAATATCGTCTATTGACTATAAAATTATGATTAAAATATAATAATAATAAATAATAAATAGAGAAAAAAGTATGTTTTTCCCCTTGAAAGTGGAGAGTCAAAATTTCGAAATAGCTCCTAATTAAATCCAAATCACGTCCTTTTTGACTTTGCAAATTTTCCAAAAGATTTTGTCATAATTTTTCATATTATGTACTTCAATTAAAAATATCTCCAATATCATTAATATTGCTAGAGTGAAATACATGTCACCATCTTTTCTTCCTTCCTTTAATGCTGGTTATGACTTATCTTCCAATATTAATGTCCCCAATTTAAATCCCAATTTGCCCTCATGAGAATTCCAATTAATAATTAGTTATTCTTAGCTTTTTGTTCCTCTCAACTTACGGGCACCTGTATTTTTTGAATTAATGAACTGTTTGTGAGCTTTGTTTGACACAACTTGACACATTAAGACTCAAATTCAAACCAAATGAGAAGCGATTGAAAAATAGGCGTTTTTACGCAAAACTAGACATATTTTTTCAATTTAGGTACAATTGCAAAATAAATTATCTTCTTTGATTTAATTACAATTTAGGCATATTTTGGCAAATTAAGTCACTATTTTCTAATTGTTGCAAAATCAGGCATGAGCATAGATTCTGGTGATCAGAATATAAATTTTTATACATATTTTTAATATAGTTTTCAATACGGATAAAAAAATCCAACTTATCTATTATACCAGATAACAAATATAAATCCGATGACCGCATGTGTAAAAATTCAAATTAAAGTTTATGTCACATGTAAAAATAATTGGTTTGTATTATTTAATTATATAAATAATATTAAAAATAATAAAATTGAATTAAAATTAAGTTAGATTTTAAATATAAATTAAACATGAATGAAATATTTGTCAACAAGCAGTGGTGATTTGTTTTAACTTTTAACACGTCTCAAATTTACCCTTTACCTACACCAACGCATGGGTATTAGAGTCATTTCAACCATATCACACAAACACATTAGTTGAAAGAAATGGTCCAACTGGAGCCCAACCAGACAAAACCCCCAAAACCTTGAAATCTAAAATACACTAATGTCTACTTGTTTGTTCTCCTTTAGAATACATTTCCCAAATAAACCCAGACTCTTCCCCTNTCTATTTTCAAAAAAAAAAATATTTTCCACAATAAATTCCAAGAAAAAAGAATGAACAAGATTCGAGGATATTGCAATTTGTCACACTTCCTCTCTTCTCATTTGATTTGCTAGCAAGATATTCTTCCTTTCTTTTCTTAGATTGAGCTGAAAAGAAAGATATTATGGATTTGAACGAATTCCGTTCGTTTATATTGGAATCAGGGCTGGATATCTGGACGTGGATCGACATGTCTATATCGGTTGCTTGTGCTGATCACGAAAACGAGCTGAAAACTCGAAGAGATGGAATCATTCAGAGGCTCTACGCACCGGCATTTTCCGGGTGTCGGAATTGCAATAACGGGTTGTCAAGGGGGTCGAAATGCGATTTGAAGGAAGTTGAGGGGTGCCAGCAGAAAAAGGATGATATTGGCTTTCAGAGTATAGAAAGAGAAGAAGATGAAGATGAAAAGGATGATGATGACGATGAGAAAAATAAGAAAGAGATTCTTGAAATTAAGACACTTTTAGATGATGAAAACCAGGTTTCATTTTGTTTTATTTATTTATATGTCTGAATTTTTATTTTATGTATCAAAATTAATGTAATTTTACAGAGTGAAGGGTGTTTGATTGAGCTGCTGCAGAGGCTTGTGGAGATGGAAACTACATTCCAAACTCTTAAGGTGAAATTGATGGAGATTTATTAATTTTATTTATTTTTGTCTAATTGAATTCCACATTTTTCTATTATTTATTTAGTTATTGTTTTTATATTTTTAATTTTTTTATTAGGACACGGATATTGGAAGGCATGTGAGTAAACTGAGAAAGCATTCTTCTAATGAGGTGCGCAGGCTGGTGAAATTTCTCGTCAGGTTCGTAATAATAAATAAAGAAATTAAATGAGTTAAAATGAAAAGCATTGAATTGAAATGGAATTATTTGATTTTTTTTTTTATTTAGTATTTAATTTGTGATTGCTGTTACAGAAAATGGAAGGATATTGTGGATGAATGGGTGAAATTGAATACACCTATTGATGAAGAAGCCACTAAATTAAATGGTAAATAAAAATAAAAATAGCNTCTGTTTCTTGTTATTCAACTCCACCACAGGTCAGAATTTCCCAGATTCGAAGACTAATTAGGGAAATAGTTAATTACGAAAAAATAATTCATTATAAAAAAGTATTTTTTTCCTACTATTTTATTTATGTAATTTATGGACAAAAATGTTTCCTTTGTTCTTATTTGAGTACTTTTTTGTGATATTGATTATAGGAAAAGGTGAAGTATAATCAGATTCAATCAGATAAATTAGGTTCAACAAATAAACGCCTCCATGACCAAATTTCTCAAGAAACTAACCATGGTGAGCCTTTTTTTTTTAAGCTTTACTAAATAAATTTATTATTATTATTATTATTATTATTATTATTATTATTTATTTTTATTGTTATTGTTATTTATTTACTAATTTGTATTGATACAGCCAAAAAACAGAGAACAGAAATAAGGGACTTTCACAATGTGCAAAAACTGAAAAATGCAGTTCTTAGCAACAATGGAGGCAGTGTCCCTGTGAGAAACTGGTGAATTTTGCTATAATACTGTCACCAAGTTCAAAGGTAATAACACTTTTTTGGCCTTGATTAAAGATTATCTGGTCTCAAAATCATAGTTACAAAATTTTATTATCAGCTTTTTGGTCTACATTGGATTTGTATTATTAATAATCAGAATCTAATAATGTTGTTAATTTATTGTTAGAATTTATTCACGTGATGGCGTGAGATCTAATTAACCAGTTTAAAAATTACAAAATTGGGATATTATGTAATCTTTAATTTATTTATCTTTATATAATAGAGCACCTTCTATGACTTATTAGATGTGTTTTGCAAACAATTTTGTTCAATGTACAATTCTTGAATAATGTTAAGCACATCTAAACTTCTAAAATGAAATGTCATCTATCTAAAAAATATGAACAAAACTAAAAAAAAATTATATTCTTTAATTCAATATTAATTGTTCTTTTTTTTTTTTTCAGAATATGATATTAGCTGTAAATGAGGATATGCTTCAAGATTGGGCTATGTCTTTCTAGCAGAAAAATGCATTGATTCTAGCCTTTACAATACAAGTGACTTGGTAAAAAAGAAGGGGAAATGGAATAGAATATGAGAATATTTTATAATTTTTATTTTGGAAATCCCATGTGATTTTGTTAGGTTGAAAATTGAATTATTGGATATGTTTATGCAAGCTTGGGTGGCCAGATTTCACTAGTGGACAAAAAAATAGCTGCTTGTAGAGTTGATTTAGGCTATCCTTTGTGGGGTTCACCATATGACCTGATGTGCAAGTGTACATAAGCCATAAGGGCATACTTTTTTTTTATTAATTGGCAAACATATGGTGTAAACCTTTATTGACATCTACTTTGTTGTTTTGGGATTAATTTGTTAGCTGTCTTGTGGGTTTTTCAAACAATGATCCCAAATTAGAGCTAGTGTGGTGTGAATGTGTGTATGATAATTGATGCACAATACAATTTTGTATCAAGTCCTATAAAAAAAGTAGTGAGATCTAATCACAATCAATTTAATGAGAGGAGGTACTTTAAGTATTGTGGTTGGAGTGTCTCCATGGAGATATTATATGGTACGGTAATCTATAACAACACAAATTCTTTTGTGAGGAAATGTCTCTAACTGCAAAAGATGACCCATTGGATCACCATTTACCACAAAGTAATGAGTAAGCTGTTAACTGAAACGAGTCGCTCGTGAGTTCGCTTGGCTCGGTGAGGTTCGAGTTTGGCTTGAATTGTTTGATAAACGAGACAACCTCAATCTCACTTAAAGCCCGTTTTATTAACAAGTCGGGCTCGACTCGACTCGACTCGTTAAGGCGAAAAGAGAATTTTTATATAATTTTTTTATAAATCAGCTCGTTAATAATGTTGAACTAACTGAGCTCGAACTTTATTTTGGTTCGTTTACTTAACAAGTTGAGTCGGGCTCGACTTAAGGGCTCGAGCTCGGCTCAACTCGTTTACCGCCCTATGAGTACCCACTCTATTCAAAGGTGTCACTTTTTTCTTGTAAAAATAGAAGAACTTGCATACAATTAGTGAACCTAGTTTTTGGTGTTGTGGTCAAAGAGTACTATTGGTACTTATTACTAGAAAGACAACATAGGCATCAAATGCTCTAATAAAGTGTTGCAAGAGGACAAACTTCACCATTGACAAACCATTGAAAAGTAAGTGGAATGCCTTTGTTTATGGACATAGTATATAAATCATGATTCATGGCACATGCAATGGGTTCACACACCCCCTGGCTCTTTCTATTTTTTTTTTTTTTTTTTTTTTTTTTTCTTAAATACAATTTTTTCCTTGTTTGATATACTTGAGGAGATTCCCAAATGATCACTAGTGTATTTCAAAAGATGCTAGTGGATCCTTATCATTTTGTTTTGTAACATTTATTATTTTGTTAAGTTGGGTTATTAATATGAAGGATCTTCATTTTACTTCTATTAAACCTAAAATACATACAAGTTCAAGGTGTTCTTAATTTTGTGCTCAATTATGCGTATGGCGCAATGTTTTCGAATCTGACCCGAATAATGATCCGGCCCAAACTCCATGTAATCGGATTATTGGTTCAACTGTTGAATAATCAGGTTAACTAGTACGTACCATGTGCGATGCACGAGACATAGATATTAAATGAGTTACTTTCATACCCTTGTCTGTTTAAGTCTAAAAAATAATAGGGTTATTATATATTTTCTATATTTTTTAATCAACGTTAAGTTTTAAAAATAATAGGGTTATTATAAGTTTTTTTTTTTCACATCTTTTAACCAGAGTTGTTTTTTTAGCCAGAACATTAAATATGAGCATGTTAGAGCTAGCTTGTAAAATAATTAATATATTATGTCACTAAAACATTTATACTAATAAAAAATTAATTTTAGCATATGAATTTATCTCTTGATATAAGAGAAAGTAACAGTTTTACTTATTGTTGTTCACTATAATATTTAATTATTATTTTATTATATAATAAAAAAGAATACTGTTAAATAGTGTAGTAGAATTGTTATAAAATTATATGAATTTTTTTTGTTTTTTACAATATGGATTTATTATCTTTTTATGATTTGATAATATAACTATAATATATTCTTAATGATATAATAATATGAGATACGGATTTACATAATAGTATGGATTTATTCCTTAATGTTAAGATATTGAATTAGGTAATATATGATTCACTAATTTGTAATGTATCCCTTTTTATATTGAATATAATCATGTGATTGAGTAGATATAACAATTATCTATAAATTGTTTCATTTAAGGAATAATTTTTAAATTGGTCAAAGTGTTGAATGCAACCCGATTTTCTTGTAACTAAAATGAGAAGAGCTTTTGAATTTCAAATTTTCACTTCAAAACCACACGTAAGTTTGGATGCAGGTTTTATTAAAAATAAAATGAGAAGAGATTTTGAATTTCATATTCACTTCAATATCTGTTGAAATTTTAAAAAATGAATTCAACAAAACCCATAATTTTAGGAGCATTTAATGCTACTCTATTTTATGATTTAAAATATTTAAAACTTTCTAAATATGGTGTGCAATTAATTATGAGTTGATTTTTCTTCCAACTAATTCTAGTAAACTAGTACAGTACCCGTGCGATGCACGGGGCTTTATTATTTCCGTCCTTTTTAAAAGGCAATTTTGTATTTAAATTTAAATTATATAATAAAGCACCGATCATTGATTATAATTAAACCTAACAAATACTTATTATAAGATACGTGTAATTATTTATATTAATTATGTTGGGCTTGTACAATAGGAATGTTTTTGAAAAATGTGAGTTTCAAAAAAGTTCATATCGGTCCAATTTACAATGTTGGCTTCGAAAGTTCATATTGGCCCAAAAAAAAAAAAAAAAAATCCAATGATCCATATTAGTCAACGCAAATCGACGGTTTAGATTACACTGAACATAGTATAAATAGTGAAATTATCGGACCAAA